AAAAAAATATTTTTCACAAAACAAATAATAAATAGATTATCAAATTATTTTTCAACATAATTAAAATTTACACTATTATTCATAAAAGTATAATAAAATAGATTACTAGTCGTATAATTCATAAAAGGAAAACAACATTAATTCCTAAATTTAATATTGAATGTAAATTACTAATAAGTTAAATAGATCACTAGTAGTAATTCATAAAAAACAACGTTAATTCAAAAATAGATTACTAATACGTTAATGTTGAATTTAATATTTAATTTCAAATAAGTTTCTAAATTAATTCCTATATCCATTACAACCATTTGGTAATCTTTCCAAATTCAACGTGTGTCATTAGTTACACCCCCCATAACACATTAAGTCATAAATAGGGATAGTTTTGGAATCCGAAAAATACAATAAATCAGATTTTAAGTTATATTAGGTAACTTGCTTAGTTGGATCCTAGTCATCGGGTATTATTTGAAATTTTTGGGTATTTTAAATAGAAAACTAAAAGAAAGAGTTGTATGTGATTTAAAATGAATTTTATGGATTTAAACTCAATTTACTATAAAAAGAATATGTGGAAAAACAACGTCTGCTTTTGTTTCTTTCACGAAGGTATATAAATCAAACTGTGGGCAGTAGCTTAGCTAAACGACAAAATGGAGGCATGGTTGACACTAATGGTCATGCCCACGATCTAAAGGGCAAGATGATTAATTCTTGTCTAAATGTGTCGTTGAGATTCATAATCTACTATAATTAACATAAGTATTTGTTTATAATTAACGGCGGATGACGTATAAATTATTATCGGCATCGGATAAGTCTTTTATGTACATTGATTGAACAGTTGAGATCACAACATGTTGAGTGATTGACATGATATTAGAGTCTTTGAAACACCAAAAATATATGCTATAGTATTTGATTCTCTCCTACATAGTCCAAGTCTGGGGACCCAACTGATAGCTAGGAGACTTCCTTAATTATGCATCATTCATCGTGATAAATATGTGTTTTGCATCCAAAGGAATATAGGGTTGAAGTTGAGTTGTTATCAAATGGTTGAAATTCTCTCATCATAAAATGATTGGTACCCATGATCTGATTTGATACGATCTGTAACTCACTTTTGTGTCTCAAGCTTGTTACACATTTATGGGACCCTTTTATTTTGTACCAAATGAACTGTAAAGCTAGGTTAAAATTAAAAACTAAAAAATGAAAAATAATTCCTCCTTTTGTATGTGCTAAAAAATATGTGTGCTAAATCAGCCCAACATGAAGGCTTTAATTTAAAATTTTATTAGGCAGGTTTGTTGGAATGTTGGCCTTGATATTACATTACCCAACAAATATATATTATAAATATAGGTAAATAAATGAATAAATAAATAAATATATGTGAATGTGAATGAAGAACCTTATAAAAGGCACTCACTCACTACATAAACCTTTGTGATAAACACTACCACTAGCAACTCCACCACCAGCATGCCATTATAAAAAGCCACATAGAAAAAGTTTGGCCTCCAAGAACCCTTTCCTTCACTTCACACCCAAATTCACAACCAAATTCATTCATTCATTAATTCTCAGATTCTAGCAGAGCAAGAACTCCGGTGGTGATTCGAAAGATGTGGCGTGGGCTGGCAACAATGAGGCAAAATCTCCAGAACATAAGGAAGAGCCCCAGAGTAGCAGATGAGAGCATGGTGATTGGAGGTGGGAACCTAGCAGAACTGCCAATTTTTGCAGGACATGGTCATCAACATCAAATGGATAGAAGATCTTCATCGCGGGTACGTTGGATTAAGGGGTTTTCGGTGTTGTACAGTGTTGTGCTTGTGCCATTTTCTGCTCTCTCTTGCTTTTCTCAACCTCATGTTCATGGTGCTGATGGGGTCTGGGCATCTGGTGAATTTGCCCAGATAACAGAGATGAATCACCTCATGGTAAGTGACAGCATGCGCTATGCCATCTTGATGTGAAAAAATAAAAAAGAAGAAGAAGAAAATCAATTTAAGTTAATTATAACAATTGTAGCAGATCTTGTTTTTGCAGCAGTGTACTAATTTGCATGGATGGCAAAAGAGAGCCAACTTTTAGATGGTGATCCGTGTAAAAATGTTTCCCATAATTTTATCAATGATATGTTGGTGAAGTAATACTATATATGTTATATATATCATGTATGAATTCAGATTTAATTTCTTTCCATTATTTTATCTTTTTTTGTTGTCTAGAAATTCTGGAATTGCATTCATAATTCAGCAAAAAAAGTCACTAGCCACAAAGGGCGTTACAATAACGAAGTGATCTAACATCAAAATTAAGACAATTTGTTGCGTCTCCCCACTAACGATCACTTAGATTAAAGAAATTCTGACATACGTATTCCAACTAAGATTGTTTGAATATTTTATTTAATAAATTAAAGAAAGAGATAAAGGCACTTTGTGGTCTGCAGTACGCTTGTACTGGTAATTGCTTAGTGTGGAGGAGGAAAGGAAAACTTTTGGCATATAAACAAACATTCTGTTCACTCATTTTGGTAAAAGTCCAAGGTTTTTTTTTCTCTCTCCTTCTGTTAAGTGGTTGGCTAACATCACATGGTATTAGAATTCTGGTTATGGAGGTGGAGTTTGAGATCAAATTAAACCCTTCAATTCTCAACACTACTTATTTGGTAAATTTGCAAGGTGTATATTGTGTAGCATCTTCTCAAAATAAATTGAAATAGGAAACAGAAAATTGCCAAGAAAAAGAAAGAGCAAAATAAGTTATGGAAAATTTTGCATATATGGACACAAAAGAAAAAGGAGGAATACTTATTATAAAAAAAGAAAAAAAGGGATCAATGCTTTACATACAAGACAAACCAAACAACTAGGCGGAAAAGCAACATGATCCTTCGGCCAACCCATCAATTTTTGGTCCAACATATGGGAATAGATTCCATCGTTTACCTTCATGAACCCATACCTGCCTACTGCTATCCACAAAACCTTGTTTTTTTTTTCCTTTTCTATTGAGGGATCCCTACAAATTTTCTTTCAACGATCCAAACAATTTATTTTTTAAGTCTATATTCATAGATCATCCTTACAAAAAATTTGACAAATCGAAAAACCGTTTCGACATTCAATTGTGTCCTACAAAATCAATGAATACGGTGATGCTTCAAGAAAGTACTACAATTTCAATAATTCAATTGAGTGGTCAAATGATATCGGATTCAAGTGATTTTTTTGTAGAGATGATTTTTAAATAAATATATACAAAATAAACGGTTTGGATTAGTGAAATACAATACGGATTGGGCCTTACAAGGGTTTCCCTCAATTGAAGCTTACTATGTATATATTTTCAAGAGTTGAATGAAATAAATACAAGGTTATGAGGAGGATTTAGAAATGATGAGGGGAGCATATAAAATTGGGTTGAAGTTACCAAATATGAGCGGAAAAGAGAGTAAGAATGTGGCTTGGTTTTTGTCCATAAAATTAAGTGGGAAACAAGGATAGAGTCAACTGCTCCCAACTTCTGTACGTAATTTGCTAGTCTTGATGGGAAGTGGGAACTTATGTGTACTAGTAGTGCATTGGCGGTCACTGCCATCCCTACAATTTAGTATAACTTAAATCATTTGTTTTAAGATTTTTTTTATTTTCCTTTCTCTGATCATTCCATTTTATTCACAGCCACAAAAACATGCAGCCACTCTTATTTTATTTTAATGTGTATGTGTGTATTTATATATATGATGGCCTGATGATGTCTTCTTCTCAGATATATTTGTTGTGGAAATTTTAATATATGAACTACATATTTAAACAGTAATTCATTTTACTAATGTTTCAGATTTTGCTACTTAACATTTATGGCAACATACTCACTGCCACACGTTATTAATTCACGTATTATTATATAAGTTAATTGGTATATCACATTACAATACGACATCCATATTTGTAGTATTCATATTTGTAGTAATGAAATATTATTGTTCGTACTGATTACAGATGGTATATATAAAGACCAGAAATACCTTGCTTATGTATCATTGAGAAGTGCATTAACATAAATATGGCAATAAGAAGAGGTTATACAAAAGTGTGTAAACTATAAAAACGAGTCAAAGTAGATTGTCCCACACTAGCACTTCCGTGTAATAACTTTACCAGGGGCAAGTCTATTACAAGAATAGCATCCGGTACGCTTGTTACAATTTTTACTGACCAATAACCAATTTGGTCCCAAGGTAAGGAATAACTAGTTACACCAAAAGATGCAGTCAATACACCCAAAACACACCTGTAATACAAGTCAATTCGCGAGATTTTTTAAAGCCACCGGTACTCACGAAATACGTGCAGGATCATCATTAGGACCATCATACATCATCACGAAAATCTTGTAGTGTTGATGGTGAAATCTGGTTGAAGTATAATTTGGTCTCGAGGTAAGGAATAACTAGTTACACCAAAAGATGCAGTCAATACACCCAAAACACACCTATAATACAAGTCAATTCGCGAGATTTTTTAAAGCCACCGGTACACACGAAATACGTGCAGGATCATCATTAGGACCATCATACATCATCACGAAAATCTTGTAGTGTTGATGGTGAAATCTGGTTGAAGTATATATGCTTGGTATAGGTCTAGGTAGGTGATCACTAACTTGAAAATCTTGTCGAACACAACAATGTCTAGTTGGAGTGATACTTTTGGTATCGGCCAATGACCATTCGATGCTTAAAACAATTACAACGATTACATAGGCATGACATTTTTGTTTTGTCAATCGATCCACATGTTTAAAGAGAGAAAGCATGTAGAGGAACCAAAGCTAATGCTGCAAGTAACTATCAAAGAAAGATACGATTGTTAATAATCACCAAATAGAAAAAGAACAAGAAAAATTAACATGCAATGCAACTAAAGTACTTTCCAATGCCCTTTAAATTTATCTTATCTTTTGCTTAATGAACACGATTTCGAGGTGCTAAGAGCTCCAATCATCTCACAGCTTGTTCACACTTTTTATGCACACTGAAAACGACATGAGAATAAAGTAGATTATCAAGGAATGATGGAAATAATTGAGTCTCGACAGTGACTAATTAAGCTACTTGCACTTGATGGAAAATACAATAAGGCAAGCCAGTTTTTTCCTTTTGCTTGTAATCAAAATTTTGCTTTTCCCGGTGGCATCAAAGATTATGATGTTGTTGCCTTGTTGACATTTTTGTCCACAAAAGGTTTCTGAATTGTACAAGCACCTGCCGACACTTCTATTAGTTCGTTTTGGCTCTGATTTAATCATTGTTACTGTATGTCAGAATCAGTATGTGATATAATTCCACTTCAAATCCTCCATATGAGCAGCCAAATCAAATTTAAAAACCAATACTTTAATAACTAAAAGTGGTGGAAGATTCTGGTGTCAATTGTTGAAGAACATAAGTCCCACATCGGAAACTTGACTAAATGAAATACAATATATAATGAATGATACCACTACTAATATCACGCATTTTATGATCAAAACCCACATTTACTAGACTTAATAGGTGGTTGAGTTGGGGACAATATCAGTGCTTTGCCCAACTATACATGTAGTTGTGTGTGAACTCAGATTTCTGCTTATGTTTTGCATACTGAGCTAAAAGATTGTTGGCTGGCTATACCGTGCTTCCATGATTTTCAGATCCTTGGCAACTTTCTCAATAGATTAGTTGGATCACATAATTTTTGTAACCACTTTAAAAATCTTGCAGAAATTTTAGATATTATTGATGATGGATGATGATTTACATATACAATTACAAAGGATTAGGACAAATATATCAGTCCTGAATGATCTAACTTGGCAAGTAAAATCTAGGAGTATAATGTTCTCTAAGCTCTTAGCAAGTAAATGGTAAAGCAATTACATCAAACACAGACAGTTGATCGAGGAGAGCGACTGCGGAGATTATATCTTCCTGTACACGAAGTGATTGCATATAAATTATCTCCAACTTCTTCTTGCAGATGGTTGGGATCCTTCAAGTTCTCAATGCCATCCGGTACATCTTTGTCAACAAATGTAGACCAATCGGATTCATCATCTGATTCCCATTCCAACTCTGCGTTTTTTCGTAAGCTCATAACCTCCTCTGTTAGAACTTGTAGCATATCGTGGTTCAGCCTTCCATAGTCCCTGAAAATTTCAAACACATACATGTTAAATGCGAATCATAAAAGCAAAAACAGAAAGAAAGAAAAAAGTAATTTCAATCTTTACTGAGTTCTTTTTCACTTACTTGTATCTGATATAAGCAACTATTATTCGAACTGCAGCATACAGCGCAAAGAAGTTTCTCAATATATTGACCCACTGAGTCTGTTGCTCTATTCCATATGTTGTAAATCTCAGGACTGCAAGTTCAAGCAGGAATATAATCGATAGACCAATGTATAGCTCACATCTCACAGTGGAAGTTTGCTTTGTGCTGGTGGACATGTAGAGGACAAACATTGACATGGCATAAACAAAGAAAGCTTTCATTGACCGCGATTCGAGCAACAAGGCATTGTGCAAGGCGAATAGCCTGTCCAAAGCAACAAACATGGTTGCCTGCTTCTGCTCAAAAGCTTCCTGTACACATATAAAAGGGAGTGTTTTTATGAGGATCATAAAGTTATTACAAGACTGAATTAGTTAGAATGCAGCATAAAGAAATAGTTACCTGAGCTGACAATATGGATTTTGAATTTTCGACTAGGTGGTCGTGTGCTTTTTGAATCTGGTCCTGTCGCTGAAGAAGCTCTTCTTGTTGTTCACGGCCAAATGTAGCAAACTGTTGCAAAATAACCCTGCATTTTTAAAACAGAATGTTAATAACATACAGCTTGATAGATGTTTTGAAATTCTTTTTACTAACATGGCAATTGCAATGTGTCTTACCTGCTCTCTTCTAGAGCTTGGGATTGAAACT